AGCAATATTTGTCTTAAATATTTGTTTTAAATTCACATATTTGAGATTCAATTTTTTATTTTTTTGAACAACCTCTGATGGAGACAAATGTTGTACCAAAGTTGTATTGCTTGAAAAAATTTAAAGGTTTTTAGTTGAACTTTTTACTTTTAAGTCCATCTAGTAGCCAAAATATTCAATACAAGTTTATGAAATTTTAATATATATATATATATATATATATATATATATATATATAAGATAGCATCATGTTGAGTGTGTAATTATTGGTAGGGAGGTGTTGTGTGAGTGTGAAGGTCATAGGTTAAGTCTTGAGAATTACTTATTTTTGATATGCAACCATGCTAGCACTTGACCCAAAAAATCCAAATTCAGTCCGAGTAAATGTGGAAGAAAATTAATTATTTCGACTTATTTGTCCAAATATTAAGGGAGTATATACTAACGTAACATACCGAGTATACAATATACTCTCTCCATCCTGTAATATAATATATTTAAATTAACTCAACGAAAAATACTTAAATGGTATATGTATTCATGAATTAAACCTGATTAATAAGTTTCTCTTTAAATTATGGTTTTCTTTTAACAAACTTCGCTAAATATTTAAATAGACACTATATAAAATAGATTACATTTTAGTATAAATTTTAGAAGTCATTATTTCAAAAGGAGGGAGTACGCTGCTTTGATGCTTGATGGTAACATGGAGATGCATCCTGTGAAAAAACCCAAATTATACAATATCTTTTGTGTCCATTTCTCCACTGATCGGATCTAACTGTTGGTGCCACTAGGATTTGTCATTTTGCGCGTTAACACATCTGACTTAACATGGGGGAACTCTTTCGGTAACGCCGAGCGGGAAATTCAAACGAATTTTTTACTGTAGTCAATCGCAAGGGTACCACATCATCAGCATGGTAGTCTGTGATTGATACTCTTCCTATTAATTGGAATAGAGATTTCATTAGAAATATATCCTTCAACAGGTTTTCAATTAATCTCCAAATATTACCCTTTGGATTTTTCATTAGCAGAGATAGATAGCTGAGAGTGCATACAAGTATAGAAAAGCTGTTAAAAAATAAAAAAGATATAGAAAAATATTTTTATTCAAACAGCTCTTCAAATGATGTTTAGAGTGTGGGTTTAAGAAAGACTCTTGGAGATGTCTAACCAATATCGGTGGTGTGCCCATTTGATAAGCAAAGTGTCCACTTTTGTCTAACTCTTTTATTAGAGCAACTCCACCAGATCCCGTTTTTTTCTTTCTATTGAAAATTGGTATAGAGGATTGAGAAAATAGAATTCTAGATTATAGAGGAGGTGTACTCCAGCAAATCGAGAAAACATCGTCCCTTTATACATAGTCCCACACGTCAGTGCTAAATAGACATCTCTTTCTCCTTTCTCTCTTTCCTCCTTTCTTTCGTCTCATCCCGTCTTGAGTCTCGATGGATGATTGGATGTTGACACAACGGTCGGAGGGCACGGATGCAGGGTAGAGCGAGGTGCGGGGTGGTGCGCGCGGCTCTCAATAACTGGAAGGCGCGATGCGGCGCAGCCTTCGATGACCGGCGGACGTGATATGGCAATGCGGCCTGGCATGGTGGCGCAGGCTCGCCCATTGTGCGACATTGTGTGGTGGTGGCTATCTGTTGGCGCGGCGCGGGGCATGGGGTAGTGGCATGGCCCTCCCTACGTTGTGGCAGCCTTCCCGGCACGAGCTTGCTTTCTCAGGGCCTGTTTGGAACGCGGGAATTTTCCCCTATTCCTGTGTTTTTCCAGTGAAATTGAACTGATTCTTGTGAAATTCCTACGTGATTCCTGTGAAATTCCTGCGTTCCAAACATGCCCTCAATTGAGAAAAAAACCTGGGGAAAGAAGATTTAAAACCTAATATGTTAGAGCTTAGTTTTTTTTGTCCATCCCCGTCATTTCTGATTATAGAGAAAGATGATCACTTATTCTCAATTTGGTAGAGATGCTCTTATGTCAGATCCATTGCATACTTCGTCCGTTATATGTTAGGAGGAGTCAAACTTTTTTGAGTTCAACCAAATATACAGAAAATATTATTAAATTTTATATCTACAAATAAGTTTATTATAAAAATATATTCTATTATCAGTCTAATGATACTTATAAAAAATTATAAATACAATAATTTTTATATATATTTGTTAAATTTTTAATAAAATCTCTCGAAAACGATATATACATTTATTTTAGGATAAAGAGAGCACATATTTATTCTCAATTATGTATGATTGTAATCTGACCAACCAGCTAGTAAGAATAAGTTATCACAAAATGCTACGGAGTAGTAGAGAATATAGAGGCTAGGAGATAACAACTTTTCTTTTTTGAACCAAAAGGAGATGACGACAACTTGGAAGAAAAGATAAGATTGTTGTAACAAGAATCTCCAAGCCATCATATATTGGTATATGACTGCGCCATGCTATGTAAAGGGCCACGCAAGAGGCTGTTTCGTGTCAGGCACATCCCTACCAAGGATAGGGAGCTGGTATTCCTCCGTCTTCCGTTCCTCTGTTTTCTTTTCATCCATTCATGGTAGTTAGAGCCATTGTATATTCAAAACATATCACATCTTAGTAGATGATTTATTATGGCAAGTTTTCATCTGCCATAAACTAATAAACTCTTCAACCCTCTTCTTAATTGGCCAACCTGTTTCTGAGAAGCTTATCAAGAGCAATCATACCCTGTGGAAAGCCCAAATTCGTGTTGCAGTTGCAGTGTGAGGAGCTCGTCTTCGTTCTTCTTATCGGTGCGCCGAGATCACCATCAAAAGGACACTAACGGCAAAGAAGTGAAGGCGTGATGACAGCAGGTCCTGGGCTACCTTCTGTGTTCTGTCCTCGCTAACCAGATACATCCTCATCCAGGTCGCCACATGTTCCACGACAGTTGAGGCATGGGGATCCATCTGTCAGAAATAAACCACGACACGTCGACACATAGTGTTCATGCACACATAGTGTTCATGGCGTATGCGTCTGTGTGCCGCGTGACGGTTATTTTTGGGTTAGGATCCAGGGATAGCGTGCAATGGTCGAGGCTGAGTCTAGAGTTGGAGTAGTGGTGTACATGGCGCCGATTTGCATGGTGGAAGCGCGCCGTAAATGGATTTCACATGTTACTACCGGGTCCTGGATCATGCCGCGGCTTCCATGGAGAGAGGAGTGTGATTGCTCTAGTGGATGTCCTTGTCAAGTGGCTCATGCTCCTAAGGTATTCAGTTGTAAAGTCTGAATATGTAGCCAAGAACGATATGAAGAAGATTTTTGTCTGCGGATCATGGTGGCGCCGGTATGTCTATTACGCTTCCACCTGGAGCGTTGGTGTCATCGTGGGTTCATGTCATCCAAGTTGTCATAACTCAAGTTGCCCCTATGCTCTCTATATAAGAGTACTTCAGAAAAATGAAGAGTCTAGACGACGACATGGCGGCCATAGGAGGATCGCTAGAAGAAAAACTTGTTGAGTAGTACATTTTAGAGAAAAGTCTATTTTGGCCATCGAACTTTTGGCGAAGTCAAGGAATGACCATCGAACTGTTCACCATTTATTTTGATCTTTGAAATATAGGACACAAGGCCATGGACCGATCCACCTACCCACATTCTGGTTTTGTGGGAACTCCTCCCTTCTCTCATTCTTCTCCTCCAAACCAGTCCTCCTCCTCTTCTCACGTTACTCTCTCCTATTGCTCTCCATGTTTGCCACTCCCTAAATCCCCTCTGGCAAGAAATCCTTGGGAAACTTCAAATCGGATCAAACAATCTTGTGTCGGTCATTATGTTCAAAGGGTTTGATGGCCAAGGTGAGTTGGATTTCCCCTTCTCTACAAGACTGTTTAGGGTGGATTTTAGCATGAGAATAAAGGTGCACTAGTGGAGAAAAGTTGCGAATGTTGTTCTAATTTGAAATGAACAAAATGCCACATTTTCTTGGAGATAGATGATTAGGGCTACTTAGAGACCTAAAATAATGGTTCCTCAGTTGAACTTAACAAGTTTGGTTGTAGGGCTAATGATACTTGGGAAGCTTCGGATTTGTATTATTCGTGAATCAGCTTGAGAGATTGGATTTCCCTTCTCTCAAGTTTCTTCACATCACGTTGGAAGTCTCCTCCCTTGCTCTCCCATGTTGCCACTCCTAAATCCCTGCTAAGACCAAATCATATTGGATCGGTCCTTTAGCTTCTATCTCTTTGTGGGCACCAAGAGCGTTGGTTTCCCCTTCTCTGTTTGTGTGTGGATTTTAGCCTGGGAATAGCAAAGCTTGTTTGAATTCGCCTCATCCAAGTTCTGAATTTGTTGCATTAGGGCTACTACAAATAAGTGTTTTGAACTCAAAGTTGTGAATACGTGGATTTCTCTAGCGACCACGCCCAAAGAGGAATAAGAGTACTTCAGAAAAATGAAGAGTCTTTTGAAACCTTAAATGTCATGGCTTTCCAAATATGGAGGATCTTTCTTAGCTTTTCAGAAAAAAAGTTGATAACAACTGTTTGAGTAGTACATTTTAATAGGCCTTGGAGAAGAATTTACTCTGATACTATCTAGTATCTACTCTATGTGCTAGGCTGGTAAGGTGGAGGCTGTCACGATTGGAGAACTATATTGAATCTTGAGACACGTCAAGAAAGATGGTGATGGGCAGCAGCATGTGGTTCCGCCAACTCCGTAGCGACTAGCGCGCGAGCATGGAACAGCGCGGAGCCATATGAAGAACTTGACCCTTGGGGGCATAACATAACTTCGCCAAATGGAGTGGATGTCATGCGCTCCCCCAAGACTGACAGAGTTTCTGTAAACTTGTAAAAACGTTTAACTATTGCAAGTTTGCAACGTTCTTGCTTTCTATGACAGTACCTATAACTGTGGGGGATATCAGAGTATATCTCATGGATTACAATTTTAACGCCCGGCGATGAACAGGTGTCGGCAATCCTGGACAGGATCTCATGTTTCCATGTCTACAGGAAGAGCATCACTGAAAACTCTGTTCTTCGCCTTGAGTGCCTGGAGATTGCAGACCCAAAAGCAACATTCAGAACACAAGAGGATGAAACAACTAATGACAGCACGTATGGGACACAAGAGGCTGGAACCTAGTTCCGTTATCTAAAAAAATCGTGCTTACTTCCTTGTTCCAGTTGGTGCATAAGGTAATGGAGAGCAGCGAGAGCATCTGCACCACCAGGCCGCACAAGATCCCAAACCAGAGACCCTGTTCGTTCAGAGTTGTAACAAAACAAGAACTTTGCTCCATCAATTTAGAACTTGTTCAACTGAAGTATGATATATAGTAAAAACCAACTTATTCCCAGTCAAACTTGTAAAGAAAGCAGAAGAGTACCATCCCCCCGAGACGGCGGACGAAGGCGAAAACAAACGCGGCAGGGATACCAGCGAGGTAGTAGGCAGCAAGGTTGATGAAAGCGACGGTCTTTTGGCGGCCACAGCCCCTAACAACACCTGGTCCCCGCAATTGAGAATGTGCATCGAGTTGAAGTTCTGCTCATACACACAGTGTTGTTCAGTATTACTACTACCTGAAAGCACACACTGCTGACCGTCGAGCATGACGGACACGGCGAGGACCGGCATCATCCTGGCGGTGTACCTGGTCACTTCCTCCTCGTTGTTGTACGCGTACCCCCACAGATCGCGTACCAGCACTATGACCAGGCCTTCCGACATGCCCACAATGAGCGCTAGGAGCACGACCACCCGCGCCGCCAGTCGGGCCGCCTGAGGACGCCCTGCTCCAAGCTCGTTCGACACGCGCGTGCTGCGGTGCCCAACAACATGATCCAGAGGACAAGGAATCATCAGAAAGAACATGCACCATCTAGGAGTGATGATTTCTAATTGTTTGGAAAACCAACTCCCTTATTGTAATGGTGTCGGTGTGAAAAGTGACTAACAAATAAATATTTATAATTTTGTCGTACGTTATGATCGGATGTGGCATAACACTCAATGTCACATGGTTTATACTGGTTCAGGCAACGTGCCCTACGTCCAGTTTCAGTCGATCGGTGACTTTATTCCTGAGCCTAGGTGCTCGAAGTTTGCTGTGGGGTTACAAACTGAGTGGGAATGAGAAGGGGGTGTCGAAGGTCCAGCCGGACTCTGAACCGAAGGGCCAAGAGTGATGGAAACTCCAACGTGCGCTAAGTATTCGAACGTATGCTCTGTGTATCTTTAGAGTTCTAGAGTTGTGAAGCTATTCGAGTGCTCAGAATGTTTAAAGCTTAGCAGCGAGAGTCGGAATGACCGTCCTTTTTTAGAGAGAGCGCATCCCTTTTTATAGGTGAAGAGGACGGCCTTACAAGTTAGGAGAGAGAGTGTGTGTGTTTTTCTTAGTTTTGTTGCCTACGCCGTCGGGTACAAGACAGTTTATCAGCGCCCACAATACTGTTGACGCCCAGATGCATATGGCAGGCTCCATCGTGTTCTTTTGGTATGGCAAATGTCGTTGCCTACCATACTATAGGACAAATATCGATGCCCACAACACTTTTCGTGTTCTGACAAAGGTTGCAAAGCACCCTTCCGCATAGCCTAACAACATGATCGGGACCGCAGATGTGTGCACCATCTAGGGTACAATCCTTGGTATTATGGTTGACTTGATTGCCTTGCCTTATCTGCTCTGCATGACTCTTGGGTCCTTACTGAGCGGGTATCCCCGGTCGGTTGTTCCCAGTCGGCTCCGACCGCGTCGGTCGGAGAAGAGCTGTAAGCAGAGGTTTTGATGTATTCCCGGTCGGAAAAGCGGGTCGGAGTCGGAAGCGAGTGTTGTCCTCTCCTTAGCCAGGCCTTCCGGTCAGAGACTGGATTGCTCTTCCGGCCTGTCGTGAGGATCTAGGCCAGCCCAGGAGTCACACGTTTGTTGTAAATACCGTCTGCTAGGCCAAGCTTTTGCTGGAAAGCGGGCCCATCGAGACCCTGGGTTTATGAACCCGACAGGAGCTCCCGAGCCCTTTTGGGACTTCTGTAAAGTTGTGAAGGGGCTGTTTATACTCGTTGTACGAGAGCAACGTATGGGTGTAAGATCGTGAGTCGTCGTCGAGCGTGACGGAGCGGGCCCCACCCATGCGTCGGCGCGGTGAGGGGTGATGGACGCGACGCGAATATGAGACAACAGATCGGGTACGATGAACCCAATATTGCTGTCCGTGAATGCATGTTGATCGTGATGCGTCTGAGTGAGCGGAGTGACTAGTGACTATCGTCCGGGGTCGATGGGTGATAGAGTCCCCTAGAACGTCATGTCGTGGAGACGGGTCATGCCGAGACGTGACCGCTCCCTGCATGATGCCAGGAGTTGGACCCGCGGGTTGTACTTTCTAGCCCGTAGTGGTTGGCGGCGGCGCGAGCTTCCATTAGGAACCATGTCCAAAGGATCGGGCAAAGAGGGGCCAGCCCTCAAACGTCGGGCGAGCCGGACCCAGCCCTCAAACGTCGCCCGAGGTGGAACCTACCCTTGAGGGTCAACCGAAGTGGAGCCAACCCTCGGGGGTCGGACGAGGCAGAGCTAACCTTTAGGAGTCAGCCAAGGCGGGGCCAACCCTCGGTGGTCGGACTTGGCGGAGCCCAGCAAGGGGTGGCCTTGGTGGTCCTAGAAATCACTTGGGGATTTTTTGACTTGCCAGCGGGTGCGTGCGAGCGCACCCGGTGGGTGTAGCCACCGAGCCCCCGGGCGATTCGGGTAGAATCGTCTGGGGGATTTTTCGACTTGCCAACATTCTGAGCCATCGTTTCCGGGAGCGTGGACCCAAGCGTTAGTCACCAACCCAGACATCGGGCGCGGCCGGGGGTCGGGCGCGACGGAGCATGGACCCAAGTGCCGGGCATGGCCAAGGGGTTGGTTTAGTTTCGTGCGTTACCCCATCCACGGTTTCCGCAACCGAAGGGCTGAGCTAACGTCGCTTGCCTCGATGGCTCGAGTGACGCGCTCGGTGAGCTCTCTAATAGGTATGTTCAAGTGGAATCCGGGTCCGTTGTTCGTAACGGGGTCGGCATAGCCCTCATGTGGCATTCCACTGCTCCTTAACCCGCCTCCCGATAGATGCCTGAGCCGTTCCAGAGACCGACTCAGGTGGCCCGCTGGCCTCCCCTCGATGGAGATTCTGTGGGCATGTCTCGAGGTTAGGATCGAACGAGAAGGTTGAGATGACCCTGTCTGCTTCTGAGCAGATCGGGCGAGGGCCGCTAGGGCTCATCTGCTTTTTCTCCCCTGGCTCTGTTTGACGTGAGGCGACCTCGAGACCTTCGTGGACCAGCCTTCAAACCCCGGTCGGTCGTCACTCATGTCGAATGAGGCGACTACCGCTTCATGACGCAACACGAAGCGTTGTGATGCATCAGTTGCATATGCAATGCTTTAGATGTATGGGGTGAATGAATGATCGCATGGATGAATGTGTGAATGCGTGTATGAGGAAGGATGAATGAATGATTATGCATTACAAAAGAAAATAAAATAAAGTATGAAGGTTTGGTAAAGATACGTTGATGACTCGAGTGGTGTAACAGAACCGACCAATTATACGAAATTAAGTAAGAAAATCATCCACCAGAGCAGACGATTGAGCAAACTTAAGCCCGTATAACCCGGTAGTCCGTGAAATCACGAAGGATTTCAAACCAACTCGTGTCCCAGCCATGATCGTAATAAGTTTAGCGGTCACCAATCACATATTACATAAAAGTTTCCATAACAGATACATCAGAGTTTAAACATAGTTATTACAAAACAAGTTCGAATAAAAGTAGCGGAAGTCATTTGTTTAAAACCACACACACTCACACGGAGTTCAAATATAGTGCCAGCTGATGATCATCTCCAACAAAAGCATTAGACGAGACGTAAGGAATGACCATGCCCATGGTCCTAAGCATCACCCATCGTAGGATACAGGCAGTTGATACAATAGCCATAGTACATCTGCCCATCTGCAACAAGTGGGAATAAAACCCTGAGTACGAGAATGTACTCAGCCAGACTTACCCGACATAACCGAAAATAAATGACACCAAGGATTATGCAGGCATTATAGTAGGGTAGCTGACTCATTTGCAAAAGAAGCATTTTTAGCATTTCAAGAACCTTTCTAAAAGCATTATTGTCAAGTTAATTATTATTAACCTGTCGACTAGATTTGCACCTATACTAGAGTAAACATGTGATTAAGCAATTAATGATAACCACTGATCATTAAACAACTTCCATACTGTCATATTCACTATAACTGTCCAAGTGTTCCATAAACATTTACTACGATGAAGTAACTCAAGTCAAGTGCTCACTATCCAGGAGCGATGGCGATTCGAATCGATTCCTAACCAGCTGGTGATTTATTCCTTACACAAATCTCACTCACCCGCTAAAGTGAGATATTGATCACCGAGTCAACTTTCCGGTATCTCGAGTTTGCCAGAACCACATGTACCCGGGCCGACCGATCGCACTTTGGTCTTATCATCCCGCCCCGTCCTCCTACCACACCCGCCTGCAAAGGTCTTGCATGCGGGCAATCTACTCGGCCCGAAAATCTCCCACTTCCATGGTCGGAAGGTACTTTATCCGCCAAACTAAATGTAAGGCATGCATTCAACATGACTCGAGGCCCAACAACGGTCGGTCCTTAATCGACACGACGGAAACACTACAGTCCAAAACCCCGCAAGTCTCCGCCTGGTCTCAACTTCATTTAACACTTAGTTATACCATGACTTCATAGCCATCCAAACAGATCCGGTAACCACCTATAGCTCGCGGTGACAGAAATCACCCGACTTCTACCGGTCTAAGCCGCCTAAGCATTGACTCGATCATGGATACCGGGGTAACAAGGATATAGTATAACAAAGGTAAACAAGGTATAATGCAGCAACGGTTGCAAACAACTCCTGAACGTAATGCATCAATTTAAAGTAAAGCATTTAACGAAATCATTGCAAACCGGGAGAAAGATGCTCCGGGGCTTGCCTCTCTCGAAGGAGATCGGACGGTGATCGGGGCACTCCGGAAGTTCTTCAACGTCCTCCTCGTCGACTTCTGGCACTTCCTGCTGCTGCACCTCGAACTGCTCCTCGGGCTCCTCGGGAATGACGACTGGGCTCTCGGTTTGCGATCCTGTATGATGCAATGCGTGTAAGTGCCTATGCAATCGGTGCATCGAAGGAGATGAATGCAATGAATATGTCGAAAGGCAAGGTAGACAACATCATCCAAGAAACTATGCTACAAGCACATGTCATCTACTGCATTCTCTTCTACCACCAATATGTTAAGTCAACATATTTTATTAAATGCTTCAAAGATACACCAAAGCTTTACTAATTTCTTAATTACACTTAAGGCAACACTTGCTTAAACCCTAATTAATAATAGGTTTGAATAGCAACCTATATTTCTGATGCTCCTAAAAATCTGAGAAAATTACAGTAGCATAATACTACCCTAAATAGACTACCATAAAAATTTCATGGCATTTGGATAAGTAAACTATCCTACACAAAAATGACAAGCTATAGCATAAAAATGAGCATGAAATTACTTTGTACTATGAAAAGTGTCAAACAACAGAATTAATATTTTTCCTAGGTTCTTCATGGTATATAATGACTGTACAAAAATTACCACATGCATGTTTTATACAAATTTTGCTCTCTAGCAAAAATAACAAAAATCAGCCATCTAAGGTACTTGAACTACACCTCAAATTTTTTCCCACAGCACATGCATGAAACATATTTTTCCTAGGAAGTACATGACATAAGAAGATTAACAAACTTGGAATCATATTTTTCTGAAGCCTATATATTTTTCTACATATT